TTTTACAGTTTTCTCTCAAACGATGTTTGTTTTTTTGAAATCCGAAAGTTGCGGGCTCATCTACGAAATCAGCGCTATCGAATGATCCGTAAATGTTGAATATTGATCCACTCTGCGATTCTGGGGGATTTGACAGACACACTGGTCACGCCCCCTCTTAATCTTTTATTATAAAGGATATTACTAAACTGACAGGTATCCAATCGAGCTTGCACCTTGTACGATGACGTCACGGTAGATAACCTGCACGATGCGTCGGAGTAAGTACCCCTGCGGGTTTGGTACTTTTCAAAACTTTCAGATTCATACAACTTGTACGTACTATGGCTCAAAAAATAGAGGAAAAAATTTTAAGTTTGTCAGTAAAGCTGGCGAGTAGAAAGTTATCAAGGAAAACTACGATTTATGTAATTCTCGTTTAGCATTCAGGTCTATGAGGCAGCTTGCCATAGACATCTGTGCTAAACAAAACCACTTCAGCTGATCAAAAATCTAACTGTTTGGTTGTTTAATCACTTCTTTTAATTGACTAATAACAGTTCTGGATGTTTTGTTTTGAATAAGTGATTACATTTTAATTGTTTTAATTTGATCACAATAAAAAAATCAATAGTTTTTGTTTACCATAGAGGTCTATGGCAAACAGCCTCATAGACCTCAGTGCTAAATCTGAATTACATTAATCGTAAACTTTTCGTTTCCCTGATAACTTTTTACTTGCCAACTTTCGCTTCACAAACTTGAAATTTTTTCCTCCATTTTTTGAGCCATAGTACGAACAAGTTGTAATGAATCTGGGAGTTTTGAAAAGTGCCAAACCCGAGAGAATACCCGACGCACAGTGCAGGTGCGCTGCCGTGACGTCACGTTAGTCGATTGGATACCTTTTGTTTAGTAATATTATGGCTCGTAGACCCCGCGCAAACTGCGCTGAACAAATCAGCTGTAAATAATTCACGTTATTTACAGGCTGCTAAGATTCAAATTATGATTGAGATTTTTATAAGAAGAATACGGATCACAATTACATATTCTATATTTTAATTTCGATTACGTGTCGCAACTTGCAAGTGTACTGATAAAATTACCTATACTTCTACGGTAGTATGACACCGCGCAAAGTGCTCAGAGGAATTCGGCTGCTGCCTGATGATAAATGCAATTAAAATAAAAATTACCGCATTTGCTAACTGAGTTGACTTCGCTGATAGAAACTAAGCTGTTATCGAATTAAGTTATTTTTCCAGCGGTAAGTGGCAATCCCACACCAACTAACACTTAATTCTTAACTAACTTTAAAAGGGTAAATTATGAGTCTCGCAGAGCTGGCTGATAAACTGTAAGAAACAAAACTGCCAAACGATGTCTCACTTGATTGCTGCTCGTCCTGCTTATGCATTTCCGCTCGCGCAGCAGTTCCGCTTTGCCTTCTTTAAATATCCGTTTTTTATTATTGATTTTTTTAAAAATACCGTTTTCGTCGGTATAATACGAATCTAATGAAACAGTGACATCGTAGAAAGGTTAATTTAAAACCCGCGCAAGTAAGGCAGTTACTTTAAGTCTTCGCTGATTGGTTGTGTTGGGGTTCCGTAGACTTTGTATGATAGGGTTTTTTACAGTTTTCTCTCAAACGATGTTTGTTTTTGAAACCCGAAAGATGCGGGCTCATCTACGAAATCAGCGCTATCGAATGATCCGTAAATGCTGAATATTGATCCAGTCTCCGATTCTGGGGATTTGACAGACACACTGGTCACGCCCCTCTTTATCTTTATTATAAAGGATTCCGTAAATTATAAACACGGTAACACCCACCGGGTTGGCGATTTCGTTGCTGGATCCAGCGCTACTTGCGAGCTTCTGTGTCTTTTGCTCTTCCTCAACTTTTTTCTGCCAAATAAAAAATGTCTGAAAGAGGAAGCAAACATTTTAAAAAGAAAGCCGCTGGATTGCTGTACTTTGGCTTCCTGGAGCGAATTGATGTAATCGTCCAACATTATTCTCAGCTCCAGAACATTCCGGACATTCCGGCGGGTAGAATTTTCCGGCGAATTCTCCGGCGAATCCTCCGCCAACATGTACAGCTTGAACTTTTCAATGAGAACCGCCACTCGGTTAACGAAGAACTGTGTAGTCCGTTCGGTTTTGTCTAAAATTTACAAAGACCACAATTTTTGTGCTTAAAGATATAAACATTGAGGAAAATGTATCCAAAAATTATTCAGAAAATAAAAAAAAATGTTACACTCTCACAAAAACCCATTGCCTTCTCTCCAGTCAACCATTTTGCATAGTTTTGACCGGCAACCGGCTCTCACCTTTACAGGCTGGATATTTTTGATCCACGAATTCTAGCACCGTTTTCGCGTTTTCTATCCACTGGTCCAAATCTGAGATTTCTTCCCGAAACTCCTGCAAAAATCATATTCATTACCCGGTCAGCATCAAGATTTTTTCTTGTGTCTTATTGTCTTATTTATTTTAAATTACTGTATTTAAACAAGTTTAAGAGCCACCAAATGGCGGAAGCCGTAAACAGTAACGCGCGCCTTCTTTGAAGTACAAAAAATCCGTCGGATATTCTGCGCACACCCGGACTTCTTTGTGGCTCTTAAACTTGTGTACATACACTACAGAGGGTTCGGAAGATTCGGGAGACAGCCTTTGTCTAGAGTTTTGAATTTCCTGCGTTGTCATTTTGTTTTTGCGGATATTTTTGTGTGGTAAACTGAGCCCTGCCATTCTGGTTAACGCCAGATTGGCAGGGACAAGTCCTGAGCGCTTTTACGGTCGGGTTCTGCCAGCATCCGCCACTGGAGGCTCTCTAGTACCCGTGTAACATCTCACTTCGCCATACTCATCTGGTGGATCTGATTCGCTTTGTTCACCCGTCGTATCATGGAGTTGAATCGGTTCCTGAATTCAGCCCGCGGAGAAGACTTCGTCGGCCCTGTTGGCGGGAAGCTCGGTGTTTCTGAACGTTGTGCTCGATGTGATCTGGGGCGAGTATTAACCCAAGGCGCTTCGGCATTTTCGCCATTCAACCAGTGACCTAGTTGGTGCAGCGTTCGGGGGATTCTGCTGTTTTTGCTTTTGGGAACGGTGAGGTTGGAAACCGTGGATGTGCGCTCGGGAGCCGCGCTGACTCCGAGACCTGCCGTCGCTTGCATACGTCGCTTACATTTTCGCATTCCGGATTCATGCGGCCTGAGGTGGGGAGCCTGGAGTTTCTGGATGTTGTGCTCGATGTGATCTGGGGCGAGTATTAACCCAAAGCGCTTCGGCGCGTTTTCGCCGTTCAACCAGTGACCTAGTTGGTGCAGCGTTCGGGGGCTCTGTGCTTTCTTTTTTTTGGGGGACGCATGGATGGTCATTCTGGAAGCTGTCGTTTCGCTCACATTGGACCGTGGAGTGGATCTCCCGAACCCTCTGGATGGGTGGATGGGACGTGGAGGTGTAAATTCGGAGTTTCTGTGTGTCATGCCCGATGGGATCTGGGGCGAGTATTACCCCAAAGCGCTTCGGCGCGTTTTCGCCATTCAGCCAGTGATCTAGTTGGTGTGGCGTGTGGAAATTCTGAGTTTTATGCTGATATTGTTTTGTCTGACTGTCTTTAGTGTTAGGTAGATTTACGAATCTTACACGTTGTCTTTGTCATGCTATCATCGTACTTCACTGTACTTGTACTGTTGTTGAATTAAAATACGTATCAGTATACACTACAGAGACTTTAAACGGCGGACAACTGAGAAGATTGATATTTTCTAATTCTGACGCTAAAAAACGCTTACCTAGTAAATAAATTTTCATGACAGGCAAAGAAGTTTATAACGTTTATGGATTCTCGTAGACATAGCATAGGATCCTCTTCAACGGCTCCTCACTGTGAATCTTATGCTATGTCTACGAGAAACTACAAACGTTCATAACTTTCTTTGGCTGTCATAACTTTCTACTAGGTAAAAAATTCAGATTTTTCTCCATGGTTTGGAATGTGAGTTCGTAGGTTCGGTTGAGATTTATGCGAGTGTGAATGCTTTAACGTTAATGGATCTCTAGACTGCAAGTCTCACAAAGGGAGGCAGAAATGGAATTCGCTAAGGCTTAGAATATTATTATGTAGGACCATGGCGGTACTAAAGAAAAGGCGCGCGCCACTGGTGACGTCACAGTATGGCAAGAATTATAAGCATTTATGTAGATATGGCGCTAGCTGTTACTGCATTATTAAAAGCAAAACCGCGTACCTTCTGCAAAGCAGTGAATAATTAACGACTGGGAAATATCCGCTCAATGCTTTGTAAGTCGAAGCTCTCTTCATGGTCTGTATACACAGACCATGCTCTCTTCAAAGCTAGACTGGAAATATAACAGGGCAAATGTTGTGTATAGTAGTATTTACGAGAATCGTAAGCAGTTTGCAGTCACCTTTCAAATCAAAGCGTTTTGGCTTTTTAAGTTTTCTTTTTCGAACTTTCGCTGTAGTCTTTCTGTTTTGATCATATGTTTTCCTGTAATTTTGGACATATTATCTTTATTGTGATATTTCATCAGATTTTAGGTTATCTGGCACTAGGAATTCACTTCTTTTGTTCATAATTTGTATGTGCTGCATTTAGCAGTCAGCCTATCATGCCTCCGAAGCGCTCGTCCAAATCCAAAAGTCCGAGCCCCCGGAAAGCTTCCCCAGGAAAGAAAAGCAGCCCGGACGCGGGCACCAAGGCCGCTGAGATCGGCAAACGCAAGCGCGAGGAATCCAAGAATACCGACGATAATTCTAATGCAGGCATCTGCGAGCTGCTGATGGAGTTGGCTGAATACGAGAAAGTTGCCAGCGGCGAGCAGTATAAATACCTCGTACCGTAAAAGCAGCGCAGACGCTGGCTGAACAGAAAACCCGTATCAAAAGTGGCGCTGAAGCGCAGAAGCTGCCAGGAATTGGGGAAAGCACTGCAGGCAAGATTGATGAGTTTCTGAAGACGGGCAAGATGGAAAAAGTAGAGAGGCTCGCGACGACACAGCCAAGATACTGGCGGATTTGGCGCGGGTGCCGGGATTGGCCATGCTCGAGCTGGGAACTGTACGATCAAGGCATTAGAAGCATCGAGGATCTCAAGAAGCATCCGGACCTTCTGCCCGAACAACTGCAGAAGCCCGTAAAGAATTTGGACGCTATTGAGTCTCCCATAAACAAACAACAGGCGGACAAAATCAAGAAGTATCTGGAACAGCAACTAAAGGTACGCTTTAATGTCAATTTGCCATGCCTGTCTAATGCATTCTTTAAAACATGGTTAGCTGAAACTACTGCAAATTTGATTTTACTTTTTAACAGAATTTGGAGACAGCAAGCATTCGCTTTGTCCCGATTTTTGTTACAAACGGGAATAGATATTGCAAGATTATAACATTAAAACTGCTAAAAAAATGCTGTATATTAAATGCTGTATATTTTGTTTGCTTGTACAGATGGCAGAAATTTTCTATGGCAGTTTATTTAGTACTGCTGTGAAAGATATTTTATTAGTGTATTTTTCAAAATGTTACTCAGTATTTTTTGAGAATTCTGTACCTGCTTTAATTTCTAAATATTCGTGCAGAAAGGATTTCATCATTGTTCTTTTACGGGTTTTAAAATAAATTAGCAACTGTAAATAAATTTTTTTGTTTTTAGGGTTTGGATGGTCGGTTCAAGGTGACACTGTGTGGCGCCTGCCGCCGTCATGAGGCTACTGTGATGGAATTGGTTGCTGTCATCACTCATAGTGCGAAGAAAACGAAGGATTTGCTGCACGAACTAACCGAGAAGCTGAAACATTCCGGTTTTCTTCCGGAGACCATGACTGAAGGTAACCATCGCGTTAAAGGCATTTGCCAGTTGCCGGCTGCCCACTCTCCGAAGAAACCTGAACGCAGCCGTCCTCAACGCAGCAGTCCTCGCAAAAAAGCGAAAAAGGAGGATGACGTATCTGCGGCGGATGAGGAAAAGCATGGTGAACAGCACATGTTGCTGCTGTGAATGAGCAGCAAACATAGATTATAGGCCGGAGAACTAGAGTTTAAACTGTAATATTTATTGCCGTTTAAACTACAAAAATAACTGCAGTTGGGAAAAATCGAATTAAAAATTATTTAAAGAAATAATTTACTAAAATCCGATTAACGGATCAGCGATCGTGCTGCGCCATGCATGCTCGCTAAAATGGTCATGGGCGATAAAAACAACAAGAAACGGTGCAAGTCCCGTGTGTGGCATACTCGTACGAAAACGTCGCGGTTAAAACCACAACAATGCGCACAAGAAAACCACAACAACAATCACTCCCTTACTGTGTGCCTGCTCTTCCGAATCATCATGAATCCCAAATCGCAGCCGCACCAAATGGTTAGTAAACACACAAAAAATTATGAAAATACAAAAATATCTTCAGCTGCGAAAAGATCGAATATAATTCAATAAGATCGCATTAATGGATCAGTGATAGTGCTGATCCATGTATACTCGTCAGAATTGTACTGCGCTTGCAAAACATCAACAAACAGGCAGACTCACGTGTTTGACAGGCTCATACCAAAACGTCGCTGGTTCCCTGGTAAATCCACAACAAATGCGCACGAAAAAACCTAGCAAAACCAAGACAATATTCATTCCCTTACTGTGAGCATTCTCTTCCGAATCATCAAGGAACCCCACACCGCTGCATCCTCTGGCCATTAACACATGAAATGCAAACAACTAAAAATGCACAACTGCCCCAACAAAATGTACAGATGTAACCATGCCACACAGCACTGTCAACGTCCATACTCGTACTGATAATCCACAATGTAGTTAACGATGCACACATTTCCCTTGACGGCCAACAAGATTATTCCAGAATCTTGATGTATTTAAATCTGGATGCTGGAATAACTGCTGGCCGATAATTAGGGTGTAATAACATAATGTAATCCAATGTAATCCAATGTGATATAGAATGACAGCGACGTTGTAAGTGTGAACTAACAGTACAGTACAGTGGTGAATAACTTGTAATGTTGTCAACAGCACACAAGCACAGAAATGAATTTTCTGACTTCCGTTGCAACAGCAGCGATTGGTCTTCTGTGCTTTATCTCTAAAAGAATGCATACACCTGTCAAGATTTATGCATTCTTTTACCGATCAGGAAGAGATCGCAAGCGGTCATACAGTTTTGGCCAATACAAGTTGCGGAGTGTACACTGTATTTTTACATGCGAGTTCCCCGTCATCAACCGGACCATTTTGGACAACTGAGTTCGCCGATAGCGACCCTATGATGTAAGTGCCTATTATTTGTGTACACATATTAACGCGCATATTTGTGTGTTATGTATTGCTGATGTGCAATTATTCGTGCGCAAGCTGTCCAGACATTGACGGCTATTACAAAAATTCTTTTATTTGAACAGTTTGAACTGCATAACCGGTTTAAGTCGTAAACATACAAATATATACATGTATGAGTGACTGGTTTTGCTAGCGATTTTTGCTACTCAGTATTAAGTACAGTACGTATATCAATAATATACGAGTATATATTCTCAAATATTCTCTATGCGTGCGGGCACTCTGGTATTCTATTTTAACTTTTTTAATCCAAGTAATTTACGCACATACGTTTATTCTCATTGAAACATTGTTTTTTACACACACGTTCGTAAATATGATTACGTTGCCAAAGTGTAGTATATAAACGTACTGCTTGAAGAAATTTTTTCTCATAATGCAACGATAATTTCTAAGCATGCGGCGGCGTTTAGTAATTTCAGGATTCCGTGAAAATAACCACAAATTTCTTTTTTGCTGCATTTGGATTGCACGAATGAAAAATTGCGCTGATATTTATCTGTCCGCGGTAGTCAATCGTATCACACATGCCGCTGACCGTATACCGGTCAAGGTTAACAGTCGTCTTTGTTTGCCACAACAGTAGCTAACCGAGTCTGTACACTTTTCGCTGCTGGTAAATTTGTCGTTGGCTGTATATAAATGCGTACTTATAATAACATAAAACATCCTGTGCGCACGTAAGTTTTTAAAAATCTGAAGCATGATTCCGTTTGAATGAAAATTTGACAGCTAATATTTTTACACCCGATAAACACTGAAATTGTCGTATTATATGAAACTGTAAATGCATATGCGTATTCTGTGCAAATCTGGCTGCTAACACATCAGTGACCATAAGTATTGTAAACTCGTGCCGGTTGATGCATGATCTTGATAAAGGAATGCGAGTGCACGATACCTCGCTTTTCACGGTGTTATCTCGCAGCGAATTTGTTGACATTAACAGCGCACAAGTTCATGACCGGAAGTGGTTGATATACTGCTTTGCTGTGCACGCTGTGTTGTTTTTATCCGTAATTACGCCTGAATTGACTATTAATTTAATCCTTGTAAATTATTCAACAAGGATTTTGCATAAATTATTTATCGTGCAATTGTATAACTAAGGCGGATATTATATGAGGCATTTATCTTTCCGAAAAATAATGAGGTATAGTTTGCAACTTTTTTTTGAAACGGAATAAAATGTAATTGCTAATTTAATTCTTGAATGCTGCTGAATATTCGCTTGCACACTGAGAAAATGTTGGTTTTAAATGGACTGCGTGCTCGCTTAATCTTGATAAGCATTGCGGTGCATTCCAGACTTGTTATCGAGAACAAATCTTTCTTGACAGCTAAAAACAACTTGTGGCAAGCATTACCATAAGCGTTATAATTTCTGTAATGAATTCGAAATCCTAGTCCTTTCAGCCAAACGTTCAGCACGTTATTTATGATGCATTCTTTATTCAATAAATGCGTTAATAATTGAAAAGTCGTTTATAAATATGTTTGTACAGTAATATAACTTGGGAATAATTACCAGCAAAATTTCCGTGGAGTGGTGTAAGTAAAATAAAAAATACACTTTCCATGCAATCGATTTTTAACAAAAAAAGGAGAGTACAGGGAATAGAACAGCGGGTGCTCGACATACATTAAACCACTGCATATGCATCCGGCCACAGATCGAGCCACCTTTTTAACTTTTTTCTATTGCTGCTTTCCAGCTTCTAGAGTATTTAAGTAATAATAACTTGCTGAAATCTGCAATATTTTTTTTAAAATGGCGCCGATAAATAAAACGACAAATAAAACGATAAAGTTTTCAGTAGCAGGCACGGTATGCCTGGCTATTATTGTTCTTTTACTCTTATTTCTCGACTTGTTAAACATTATATGTAGCATAATCAGCGCAAACAACAGCAGTAGCGGTATTAACTCTACCACAATCATTCCACAAAACCAAACGGTAACGTAGTAAAATCAGACAGGATACGACGTTTGTCATACGTTCTGCGAAAGCGCTTAACTACTGATGTGCCTTCAATTTCCAAAGTACGTTTGGAGCGCAAAATGGTAAAAGGATATTTTACTGCGTACACCTGTGGACCTTGCTCTGGCAGCAGGCTTCGAAATATGTCGAAATTTAAAATTTTTCTAGTCGAACGGTTAAGCGTAAATCCTTTCACCTTGCATACGTGGCGATTTAGATTCGTCACAAATGCATAAGATTTGGGCGCACAAACGGCAATTGCTTGAATAAATTCTCCAGGATTTAATTCGTTTGTCAGGTCCCCTAGGTAATTTCCAACAGGCAGATCTTCGTCGATTCCTGGGCGATGGAGCCAGATCAGGGAATCGGTATCAAAGTAGATCAGGCGTCTTCCGACTCCTTCCATAAAGCCGTACAAGTGCAACCGAGCGTGAGCGGTCGTAAATCTGTAAAAAACGATAATAATAATTTATAACACGCGCTGTTAAATTAAAGATGTTGTTCACTTACGCAGCCAAAATTATGTTGGTGCGGGGGTTTGTCGGTACAAACTCTTGTTTGAATTTGTAACTTATTTGTAATGTTTCTTCGTTGAAGAAATCGATGCTGTGGACTTCTTTACTGTCGTCCAAGAGTAACTGGTGAAATTTTGTGAGATCAGAAATAAACACTGTCGATAAGCGGTCCTCGCGCATTCCCAAGCGGCCCCAAAAGCTGTAAAGTTTTAAAACTGAGAAATTATCAAAAAAATTCAATTTGTCAGAATACTGACCTATTCAAGCAAAGTTTGGCAAGCGAGCGCAAACCCGAATTTTTACTGATTTTATCAGGCTCCAGCTCAACACCTTCTCTTGACAGGAAATCCTTTAGATAACTCTGCTTTGCTTGGTCACTTTGGATGTCAGTCGGCCATCCGCTGGCTTCCGTTTTAAGCTTGAGAAAATGTCTGATATAATTGGCAAATAATCCTTTTTCAGAATTCGGAAAATGCCAGACTTCGTGTATGGCTATAACGCGGTATCCGGTTGCCAAGGCTTTTTCCAGTTCAACGGTACACCAAACTCCAGACAGTGCGCGGTCCTGGTCCGAGTGTTGACAGGATCCATCATACTGACTTTCGGTGCACAGTCGACACAAGGGAAATGTTAGCTTTGTTGTGCGGTACGGTAGCACCGGAAGCCATAAATCTTTAGGCGGTAACACGGTAGCTTTAACCAATCCAAAATAGTTACTTAGTTTATCAAAATCTTTCTTTATTTTGACGTACGGACCAATTGGATATTTTTTCCGACATTTCACAAAAGGGTATTCAGATATGACATCGCAAAACCTTGATAAAACAAAAAGAAATTAGTATGTAGAACCATAATGGAAATTTTCTTTATAACAAGTACCTAATTTCTTCGCCTTGTTGGCAGTTGTAAAAGAGACGGGTTCCGTTTGTTCGTCCACCATATAATGCATCCCGCGGGTTTAAGGGGCCAGTGACTGGGCCGTGTGTGGCTAAATGCTCGAGGAAATCAGGATCCTTTGCAAGATTCTTGTCAAATTCGCTCTCCCACATGGCTACAATCCTGTACCCAAGTTGTTTCAGTTTTTCCTCTCGCTTCTTCGTAGCGTGGAAAAGTTGCTGCATTGTCTGATGAGAAACAGGATTTATGTAGTC